ATTATATCTTTAGCAATTAAAAGGAACCATTGCAACATATATTTACAAAGGTCAAATTATGAAATTATGAATATCTACTAATCCTAATTTTGGATTATTCAATCTTACATACCAAATGCTAAGTAGGATCTGCAAAAAATATTCTAGCCTGCATTCATATACACAAAACTATAATGGAGTCCATAATTTTGGCCATAAGTTGAGGAACCATGTGATCAGACTAGATTTTATGACTATTTTTACAATAGTCATAAATCAAGTCACCATAGTGGTTAAGCAATCTATGTGTCTAAGTAAATCCAGCATATTCAACAAGTGGTATTTTTGCCACTTGCTATGGAAAAACAGGAAAAAACATTGCAAATTATGGTCACAGGATTGCAAGATGCTACAACTAGTCATAAATGTGAGCCAATTGCCCAAAATGTGATTACACGACTATGGGTGTGTGTGTGTGTGTGTGGCAGTCATACTTTCAGAATAGGCTGTAAGTCAATTTTTTAAAAAAATCTGTCAGCTGGTCATAAGTCAAGGGTTACCTATGTATATTTCTTCTGAGAAAATATTCAATTTTACTCTCACCTAATCTTCTGATTATTATCCACCCAAAGGTGGGGGAATGCCCACATATCATAACTTCCAATCAATTATAACTTCTGTAATAAATTGTTGCAGTGTGCTGATATTCTATCAATGAGTTATGCCTACTCAAATCTGCCCTTTCAATGGAAGTTCTACTTTATCTCCGTCTAAGTAATCATCTGTCAGCTATAAAGCATACTTAGTCCTTGTTAGCAATTTTGATTCTCCACTTGCCTTCAGGATTTTAGAAATATTATTCTGTTCTTTTAAAATCCTGGAGCATCAGGGAAGTAACTGAGGATTGGAAAAGGCTGAAGTGAAAGAGAAAAAAAAAGGAGGGGAGGAACAGACCCAGGAAACTACAGACCAATCAGTCTATCATCATTAGCTGGGAAGATTCTGGAAATGATAATCAAAAAACAGATCTGCGAACAACTAGAAGCAAATAAAGTTATAACTAGTAGCCAGCATGGGTGGTTTAAAAACTAGTAGCCAGCACGGGTGGTTTAAAAAGATCATACCAAATCAATCTTACTTCATTCTTTGATAAAGTGACTAAATTAGTAGTGAAATGCTATGGACATAGTATACTTAGATTTCAGTAAAGCATTTGACAAAGTAGATCACAATCTACTTCTATTAAAAGTTTTATTTATCTCCAACAAGATACTATGAAAGTGAAGAAACTCTTCCAAGTAGAAAAAAAAAACAAAGACAGAAAATCTAAGTGGTAAACCCTTCTGCCAATATCAAGCATATTTTAATATACATAGTTAGGAATTATTTTACAAAGATATGATGAACGTCCCTACAAAATATTTTTTATCATTCATCCCTTTCACTGCAGATTAATGGGACTAAACTTGTAAACATGCGGACATGTTATATATCACTGAGCTAGGCATCATTTTGGATGTTCAGAGGAAACAGCTGAAATATGCACTTTTATATTAGCTTCTGTCAATGTAAGCATTTCTGCTAGCTTTTCTGGCAGAAATACTCATAGTGGCTGTCCTCTGCAGTTGTCAACCAACTCCAGGAAAAGATTTGTTTGGATTAAAGAATTGCACATTCACAGTTTAATCTTATGCAAACTGCATTGCAAACTGCATTTGAACCATCCTTTAACCAAATTCTAAAATACCTATTAGTCTACATTAATAGGAATAAACCACATTGAATCATTTCTAATATAGAACATGTGGCAATCTAGTAGAGCTCAATTCAATTTTCCATAACTTCTCCTGCCAGTCAAAGTAGTTAAACAGATATAGAAAATTCTATATAAATAAGACTAGGCATCATGAATCTGTTTTTTACTTGCTTATTATTATTTTAATAAGATAAACACACAGCAAACAAAGCATCATGCTGAAATGTGTTTATCTGCAACACAATCTTTGACTCTACAACGCTCTCCCTTAAATGGCAAAAAATATGGGAGTTAATTCACCTTCTGGTACATATATCTATCTCTGGTCATATTGAGAATAAGCAGTTTTCATAGCAGTGAGAAGTATGCCCTCCATACATCTTCAAAAATAGCTCAAACAATCTGTATATCAATATTCTATAGTGCATCTCTCATCCTAGAGTAGGGCTGTCAAACTTGCATCATCACAGCACTGTCATATGATGTATCATGACTTTCCCCCTCTTAGCTTAACCCTGGTGTGGCATGGTTAGCAGGTGATGCCTCCGGGCTGCATCCCTCATTTTATAACCCTATTCTAGAGAACTAGGAACTCTGGCTTGTTGCTTTTGGCAAGACCACAAATGAAAATTGGTTTCTGATGTAGCACTACAGCTACTAAACTATGTAATAACGAACACAGCTATCATGCTTGTTGAGCCATTTTTCCTGGCAGGAAATAAACTTGTTGCCTGTTATGGGGTAAACCAGAAATCCAGCAGTATCCATAAAGAGCCATGATTGTCAAAATGACAATATAAATGAATCACAAAATGTCATAATTAGGTATCCAATACCTGACACAAATACATAAATCCTGACATTCACCTGATATCATTTTATAAAGGTTGTAATTCCCTTCTCCTGACTTCACTTACAAACACTCATTTAAGGGAATCAGAAGAATTTATGTCTACTATTCTTGGCACATAGGAAAACCTGACAAAAATCTGTTGTTGTTTATAATTGCACTGTATGACTATTTAAATATACTTGAATTTGTAATACTCTGAATGCAGCCTTATTTTTGTTAACGTTATTATCAGACTTAACTATCAGAAACACAATGAAGCATGCATTTTCTTTGTTATATCTTCTCAAGCCTGAAGAAAAGAGGAATGATAGAGAAAAAGCTAGAGCTGAAATAAACAGAGCAATAATTAGAATTTTTTAATGTTAAATCACACTTATCTTTTTTTGATTCTTGAAGTGCACTTCAGCTTATTTTATAAATCCTAGCATGATTGATCAAACTCTAATTCCCCAGTTGAGGATTGAAGACTAAACTTTAATCTCAATTCGGTGTTTATTTACATGGAAGTAAAACTGCTCGAACTCAATAAGTCTCTTTCTGAACCTGTACGTAGCATTACACATAAACGAAAAAGTTTATTAATAAAACATCATATAGGTAACTAATATTCTTATGGTACCGCCACGGCTGTTTATTAAAAAGATTTAATTTAAACATACTACAAAAAAGCCCCACCACGCTCACTTTAGTTTGTTTTTAGAAAGCTGAAAATAATTCCTGTATGTATCTAAACTCACCGAATTTTAACATGTGCCGCGTGGAAACTAAAAAAGTCACACTTCCTTCCTCGGTGCAGCCATCTTGAAATACTTGATCAGCTTACCAACGAGTTTATTGGACTAATTCCTAGAACCGACTCTGATTAACCCGCCTAAAGAGGCGGAAGGAAAGATTCCTTTACAGTTTAAACAGGAACAGTTTCATTTACGTTTCTCAGCTAAGTGCGGGGAATCAGGGGATGCGATCTTTATTATCATCATTTTTAAATCACTGCAACCCCCTTGGATGAAGGGCAATATGCGTTGATTACGGTGAGAGGTCTTTGGTGCTATCGGATCCTGGAGCTTTATAGTTCTCAATGTTTTTTAAGTTGATAACTTTAAGATGTGTGGACTAAAATTCCCAGAATTGCCCAGCCGGCTAGGGAATTCTGGGTGTTGAAGTCCACGCATCTTAAGAGTTGTTGAGTTTGAGAACACTGGTAAAAGTCTGGCTGTTTGCTAAGCCATGTCTACCCTACACTGTCACTTCTCTCCGAGGACGAATAGAAACAGGCGCTTTCCATTCCTGATCGACCCTTGAATCTATTGAATTTGCGATGCGTACAATAAGTACCAAGGATTATTGGGCAGGTTCGAATAGAAAAAATAAATTATTAGTTGTTCAGCCTTAAAAGTCTCTACATTCACTTGGGCTTGCCCTTGCCCGGGAATCACCTGATATCAGGGCGGACACGAGATGTCCCATGAAATTTATCAACCAATTAATTAGTCATAAATAGGTTAAACTAAGCGTGTTTAATCAAAATGGGTTAAGGAAAGCGGCGCTTCTCCAAATTATGCTTTTGCCTGGAGCTTAAAATCCAGCCCATGGAGTTGTTAAAGGTGTTAAACATATTGCCCAGCAAGGAGAGAACACTTAGCCCAGTTTTATCTCAATCTCAACAATTTTACGATATATTTACTTCAACTCCTACAATTTATCAGCCGTGGCGCGAGAAGTTGTTGAGATTGAGAAACATATTGAACCTTCAAATTCCAAGTGGAGACTAGAAGAAAGCCACCGAAACCCCAAATATGCTTTTTCAAGAGGCAACTGGACGTTGTTTTTCTTTGAAGACGTTTCGCTTCTCATCCAAAAAGCTTCTTTAACCGTCTTCAAACAAAAACAACGTCCAATTGCCTCTTGAAAAAGCACATTTGGGACAACCCTGAATGACTGAGAATCTCGATAGACACAAAGCCACGAAAAGCTTTTTCCGCTTGTCCACGTCATTCGCCAGGGATCGAGCGCAACTCGATGTTTTATCCTAATAAATTTCGGTCCAACAGCAGCTCGGTCACTTTGCATTCCGGTAGAGCCGATTATCAGTGTATAGAGGCTGTTGTTAAACGGACTGGAATACCGGAGGTCGACTACGTAGTTTTTCCAAAATGTTATCCAGGAAAGCTCTGGTCCGAATCAGCCCGATTTAAGAAATGGAAAATGCCGTCCGCACCGCGTGAATATAGAAAAATTACACACACACACACCCTCCACCCCGCAACCCCACCCCCACCTTTCGCGTTTCTAAACTAATCCGATTCTAGTGACTAAGAGACTTCCTGAGAAGGCCCGCCCGGTTTCTTAGTTCTTAGCACTAATCAGCTGCTGGTGGTACCCCTTAACTCCGCCCATTTATTGTCGGTGACTCTTGATTTTATCCTGCCGAGGTTTCACCTGCTGTAGTCTGAGCTACATATTTGCGTTGACTCCCTGAACTGGGTTTGCGTCCTGAACCACCACCTGCCACTCAAGAGAGACAAGAAAGGGAGTGCTTCGTTAGCAGCCGTAGAGACTTGGCCACCGGCGATTTGTGCAAGGGGCGACATACAAGCAAAGAAGTTGTGCTTCTAATACGGAGTTCACTGCGTGAACGAAAATCTGCCAGGAGCCGGGGTAAGCGAAATAATATCCTTGGTAAACAAAATTATATAGCCTTGTGTGGTACTTTGTCAAACAATGTTGCGGAATGACAATCCTGTGTAGAAAATGTGCTTTGGCCGATGTGTTCGACATTTCTAAATGACATACCGGTGTGGGGTTTTTTTTTTTTCCTTTTTGGGAGTGACACAAGAGAGATGTTGCGAGGATCCAATCGTGTGCCTTTTATTCCATATAGGAAAGTTGCCTCTTGAAATCAGTCTTGACTCCTGCACTTTTCTTGACACTACTTTGGAAATTTGCATTTCCTTATATCTAGGTCCAGAGAAAGTTATTGGCTTTAAATATAAAGAAAAGCTAGAACTCCTGTTTCCCTCTTTGTAGCCTGATATTTTTGTTATTGTCCTAATGCCAAGAAGCATTATTGAATATTTTAATATTTTAATTTGAACTCTAGATTAAAGGAAGTAAGCATTTTTTTAAAAAGTGGAGTAATGAATTTTTAAAAGCAGTTGCCAATGTTTTGAATTTTTTGCATATTTAAAAATATCTATCATACAAGGAATTTTTTAAGCCAAGATTCATAAAGCAATTACAAGAGTAGAAAATTGGATGAATCTTGGAGAGCAGAGCCTGGTTTCTGAAGATCTAGGATCTAAGACTGGATGGTAAAATAATAACCAATTGTTTCAGGAATGAGTACAAAAGTGCACATTAGTTTCACCTCAATGTACTCAGTGTACAATGTACTCAGTGTACAAGGAGTTGGAGGCTAAAGCAATCATGAAGAATGATTGCAGGAACTTGGTATGTCTAGTCTAACAAAGAGAAGGACTAGGAGTGACATAGTAGCAGTTTTCCAATATTTGAGGGATGGTCACAGAGAAGTGAGGGGTTGACTTATTCTGCACAGCAACTGAGGGCAGGACAAGAAATAACAGATGGAAGTTTATCAAGTATTGGTCCAACCTAAAATTAAAGAAAAATTTCCTGTCAGTAACAAAAATTAATCAGTGCGAAAGGCTTGCCTCCAGAAGTTGTGGATATCACTGAAGGATTTAAGAGATTGGACAGATTGAGTAAGTCTCCTGATCAAATTGAGAATTGGACAAGAACCCTTTCAACTCTGCTATTCTGTATAATGAGGAGAAAATTATTTAAAATGTTTGCTCTGAAGAGATGTTAGTAAATACAATTAAATCTGCAATTTACATTTTTTGCCAGTGTAGTTCATAAAAGTAAAGGACAGCAATGTTTTTAATACAACAGTTTGTCTATTCAGATGTCTTGTAGGTATCAATAAAGTTGAACCATGTTATTCATTTTATTTCCAATATGTTGCCCACCTATGTTGCTGTTTCTACAGCAAAAACTATAGTTATTAAAGGCTTTGACACATATACCAAAAAAATCCAAACCTTTAAAACCCTTTTAAAATTCAAAAAGCAAATGCTTCAAGGTAGAAGCATCATGGCTGTTAGTTAAGAAAATGAAAAAGGAGTAACATCGCTAGAATCCAGAACTGTAACGTTCCCTTCTGCAATATTTTGTTGCAGGTTCTAGTTTCTCTGCAGGAAGCTAGTTCTACTGTCCTGTCATGATCAGGAAATTGCATCCTGAACTTATCCATAGGATAGAAACAGACTATTTTCTCAGCAGTTAAAGTTACCAAATATTTTTTTCAAATATCACTTTTCCCTTGGCGCTGTCAGTATTATACTACTTTTATAATGCATTTTCATATTATTGTTTGGCTATACTGTTGTTGCTTTACTGTTTTTATATTTCACATGCTACAGTATTTTAACTTTTTTTCTGACACTAATGCTAATGAATTTTTGTATTGTTTCCATTTTTCTCTTTTGGTCAGACATGAATTAGTAGGCAAGAAATTCTTATTTATTTTTCATTAAGATGACTTTTTCATTTTTCCCTATACTGAGTTGCATTCCTAAACAATCTTTAAAGTTTCCATTCCCACACCCCTGTATAACTCTGCATACAGTTCCCTGAAAGGAACATGGGATAACTATGTGACCTCTCTTTATTTCAGAGCTGCATCATGACTTATGGCAGTACTCCTGCTGTAAAAATAGATTATAAAATGCATGTGGGTTTGAAATTCTTCCTCACCCTGCAATTACACTATAAGTTATAGGTGGTATTTGATTACAATAAGAGCTCTGTAGGTATTGTATTATATTAATATGTGCTGCAGTTTTGTTTAGGAAACATAGCAGGAGAAAATTAAAAGAAATAGTATTGTGGATCCTGCTTGGTTTGATACAATTGAGGGCAAAACCTACCATCTGTGCTTGATACTGGTTGATTTAGTACAGGCTGGCAGAAATGAGGAACCTGAAACTTAAAATTTTGCACTAGCACAAATCCCTATCACTCTTGCCATTACAAATAACTATAATTCACTTGTCACTAGTAGACCTAGGACAACTCACTGTGGCCAAACTGCCGCAGGACAACTCAATGCAAGACAATTCAATGCTGTATTAATCATTTCATTCAGCTACTTTTATTATTGGTAACCATGTTTTCATCAGAATTATTGTAACTTGCATTTATGGATTGACTTTGTTTTATTGATATTGTCCACTTAACTTTTGTATTTGGTGAATTATTGGTCACGACGAGTTGTCCTACTCACAGGTTACCTGCACTTAGCACTGTTCTTTGAAATGCAGCGGATGTCAATAAATCTTGGTGTACAAGATGGCAAAGTCTTTCTTTAATCACATTCTTTCCAGGTTTCTTGGAATGTATATGGAAACATTTCTCTTTTACTGTTTAGAAAAATATTTTACATTTCAACTTCAAATCGAGTCAAATTTAAAAACTTTTATTATATCCAATAAGCCATAAAGCACAACAATAAAATACACAGATATGCAATTATTAATTAAAATTTTAAATACATTTCAATAAAATTACATAAAATACATCATAATAGTTGTGATACAAATAGTAGTGGCAATCAACAAAATTTGTAGTAAACTTCAACTGTGGATAGGATGGAAACAAGAAATAGTACAAAATCATACAATCTGGAAACACATGTCAGAGATAAAATATTGTTGCATGCTTATTTGAGAAAAATTGATAAATTGTAGAGTTGGACACAAAGGTACTGCAGTTTGAAAAATACCTCAAAACATTGGTCAAGGTGATTCCTGGCATTTTCAAGCTCCAGTGGACAGAGACTTTTCAAAGAAAGACCTAAGGCAGTGATGGTGAACCTATGGCACACATGCTGGAAGTGGCACGAGAGCCATCTCTGCTGGCACGCGAGCTGTCGCTCTAGTTCAGTTCCACTGCACATGTATGCCTGCCTCCCGCCAGCCAGCTGATTGTTGGGTATCTGCTGCTCATGTGCGGGGGCGGGGCACATGTGGGAGACACGTGCACATGCACAGGAAGGCAGGGGAATGTGGGGAGGTCGCACACGCATGTGCAGGGGGTAGAGGTGTGGGGGGGTCATGCGCGCATGCACATGGGCAGGGGGATCATTCATGCATTGGATTATGGGTGCAGGCACACACGCATGCGCGTGCACTTTTGGCACACAACAACAAAAAGGTTAGCCATCACTGACCTAAGGACTATAGTTTGCTATTATCTTTTGTTTGCCAGGTTGATTTAAAATAGTATCTGAGAACCATAGACCCACATATTAAAAAAAAGTTTCAACCAAAAATTAAGGAATTGGAACTAGGCTTCGTCACTCACTTAAACAAGATTTTAAACTATAAAACATCATTATTGATGCATCTGGGAATGTCATAAGCTGAAATATGAACTTAGAAAGAAAAACTTGGCAATCTGCAAGAATAAAATGTGCTTCCTTGTTTAGAAAAAATTTAAGACAGGTTTAGGGCAATGTTAGACCACAGAGATAAGAGAAATGTATGTTCCAAAATAAAGAAGTCTAGAACTGCACCCAAGATATTAATTAGTATATACCTACTCACTGAGGTCTCATTCATTTGCCCTTTATGTAACCTACTGTATAAACATTAGCACTTTAGTTTTGTGATAATTTATTACACATTGTTTTAGACAAAAAGAAGCCAGTGCCTCAGTGTCATTCTAATTCCCACATGAGAGACAGATAAAATTATGGTACTACATCATGCCAGTTTGGGCAAGTAATTAAAGCATTGGTCTATAAAGCAGAAGACTCTGAATTATAGCCCCACCTTAGGCATGAAAGCTCAGTGGGTAACACTTGGCCATTCATTCTTTTTCAACTTAATTCAACAGTTGTAGGGAAAATAGGAAGAGAAAGGAATATTAACTATATTCACATCTTGATTTTTTTATAAAAAACTACAAAGGTGGGATAAAACTAATGTACAAGGTTGGAACTGCACAATAGCTAGCATTAGGGAATGACAATTAGAAGATGAGAGAGTCTGAACTAATGTATAAATTAAAAAGTAAAGGGACTACAATGTACTTCTACTTTACCCCTCTTTCAGTGAAAATAGCTCCAAAATATGCCCATAAGGAGAATTGTCTTTCAGTAACGTGTTAAAATAAAAAATCTGAAAAGGACAAACTTTTATCTATTGAGGATTCCTCAAGTTCTTGCCATAGCTGCTCTTTTGGAATCAGATCAAAAGATGATTTGAAATCCACAAAGACTGGAAAAAAGAAGTGAGGTGAACTGTATTTTCAGCTAAATGGTGCAAGACCATTTAGCTCATCTAAGTTTGATCAATCCCCTTGAAGTCCAATCATTGAGGACATTTACACTGTGCACTCAGTCCAACAGTTTTAAATAAAGATATTTAAGGTACATGTGGTAACATATTTTATTAATCATTTTCTGTAAATCCTTTGTACAGCCATTTCGCATAGAGATAAGGATATGCAGGCATTCCTGGTGGGAGTAGGAGTACTTTTACGCAGGAATGTCTCATCCTGTTATCTGCGTACGGGCTTAGAAGGAACAGGGAAATAGGTGATAATTATAGGTACACAGGGAAATAGGTGATAATTATAGGTACACAGGGAAATAG